CAAACATCCTAAAACATAGAGGCACCTGCAATCAATGACACAACTGCAAAGCAAAGGGCACACCCTGTCCCAGGTCAAGCTGATCCTGCCAGTCCTTGTCTGCTCCAATCCCACCTGCCCTTTCCCTTCCCCTCTCCTACCAGCACAAGTGCACCTGTAAATGTGTAGGAACTGGATAAGAGTTAATTTTTTCATATATTTTTTTAAGCTCATTTTGCTTTTACTGCTATTTAAAAGTCAATAAAACCCCTGAGTCAACACAAAGACTACAAGCTACTAGAAAGCTGAGCGAGCTTGACTGGGTCTGTGTAAACAACAGTGACATACAGCTGGAATTCAGGTTGTGAGGAACTTTTGGGAGGAACTTATTTCTCTTTTAACTCCACTATTTCTGCTAATTATAAATATTCTCTCCTTGTATTTCTAGGGTTTTTTATGCAGTCAAATTATCTGGGTTTTTATGCAGATGTAGCTTACTGAACCATATTTGCATTCTGTAATAAGGAACAGCAGGCAACCTATTTACACGCTACACTATTTTCAATTTTGTGATAAGACAAAATTCTTACGCCAGTTCACTAAGAGAGCACCACCAGCTTCCCACAAACGCAGCACAGGATATCAAAACTCCAGCTGCTAGTAGGTTAAAATACTTTATAAAGCTCTTTGCAGGTAGCATGCCATTCGGGGCAGCATTAGCAGCATTGCAATACTCTCTAGCACAAAGCAAATCTGAGAACCCACTGTATTAAAAACAACAGAATAACTTCCAAGTAGTATTGTTTTCTAGGAGGAATGCCAGATTACTTAAAATAACATGAACACGACTGATGCCTGTACCAAAGACTGTTTCATCCTCTGTAATTTCAAGCTCCAAAAGATACTGTTTAATTTACACTTGCCCTGAGAGCTTCTGTCCCATCCATGTCTATTTTTCTAACTGGGTAACAGAAACACATTGTGAAAATACAAACACATTTGTCAGCAATGTCATTATTTGAATGTCTGCCACTGTAAACAGGCTTAGCATATCACAGATACAACCACCAAATCACTTCTTGGTCATAGTGTACAGCTTTCATGCTTAGTATACTTCTGTAGTTGGTGCTGATCTGAGGAAGCATCAAAAAGAAAAACCATCTAATAACAAAGAGACAAGTCTGAAGTGCAATAGTAACTGGTATTCCCCATTCCCTTAAGAAAAATAAGTCTGTTTTGTTAGTTAATCCTCAAACATCGTCAGCAACATAATTTCAAACCCACAGATTCTTTCTGCAGCTCCCATTCTTAAAATATTAAGTGGCATAACCTAGGAAAATACCTCTCAGGTATTATTTGTCACATAGCAAAAACGAGGTATGGATGCTATGGAGCCAACAATACATCCTGTTATTTCTTAGGTAAAAGCTCTAAGGGGAAGGAAGTTTGCCACATATTTGTGTCAGAAGTTTAACATTGGGAGAAACTCAGTAATTTCAACGTTTTTTAACAGATTACCAAAGTCAGCAAAGTCAGACTCCACTATTTTAAGTAACTGGACTTAGAACGACATGATACCCACATAAATGTAACCTACTAAGAAACTTTACAGACGCAGAGGTAATAGAAAAATATGAGATAAAAGTACTTAAAACAGTGAAGAGTTCAAGTTCCATTAAGACCTCACTTCCAGCTCCTAACTGAGAATAAGATCTAAATTTCAAAGTTGGCTGTCCCCTTCTCTGCTGCATCCAAGTCTCACCCTCACTGTCCCCCACCGAAAAAAGTCCCATGAAGTTCTTTAGCTGTGTCATCTACATGTCTGTTCAAAGAATCATTCAATATTGTTTTGATCTCTCTGTAGCTAACAGATACTTCACTTACATATACACTATGTTTAAAAAACTAAATTAGTTCGAAATTTGGTTTGAAAACTAAAACTTCTTTAATAATATGAAGTCTCTATTTTTTTGATCATACAATTAAAACCCTACAGTACTGATTAAAAAAGGATTTGCTCAAGTTAATCATCTGAGCAACTAGCAGAATTGAGAACCACATTATTACTTCTATGAGCAGAAAACCTATCAGTTTGTAGAATTTTGACACTATTAATACAGAAACAAACCAAAAAAGAACCAGAACAGACAAATAATTTTAGAAGTGGCTGACGATAACAAATAACTGAGCAAAGTTTTCAACTATGTACCACACTGGAAAGATTATTAGAAGCAGTTTACCTTCATAAAGTACCTATCAAATCTAACAATTATGATACATCTAATAACTATTCATTTTGGACTATGGGTTTTTCAATAGCTTTATCACAGTATGTTAAATTTATTAAGTGTCATGAAAGCACAGACATCAGCTGCAAGATAAACTTATAAATTACAATGCATGTGGTAGTGATGACGAGAGTCTTGTTACACTGCAAGTAAAAAAAGTAAGATTGTAAGTAGTAGGAATTTGTTTTAAAAAGCCTATGTTTAAATATAGTTTAAAAAAATGGTGCTGTTACAAATTAATAAGAATATGCCACTCTGCTGATCACTCTAGCTAAATCTAATCATGATCAGATCAAATGCATGCAATTAAAATATCTGTTTAGCAGTTCAGATTTAAGAAAAAAGAACACTCATTTCCTTTAAAACTAGAACAAAAAAATGGCTTCCAGAAGTGAGGAAGTAAGATCATTTCCTATGACTGTATCATACATCCGACTGTAGGGCTGCTTTCACCTCAGACTCTCTGTAAGAGCCCACAATTCCACAGAAAGTCCCACCTCTTTTGTTAACCTTCCAGTGCTATTTCTTAAACCTATCCAAATTCCAGACAACTGTGAAAAACTTTGTTTTTCATGAAAAAAGCTATGCAAATTGTCATCAAGATATAAAAGGAAATAACACAAAAGTCCAACTTACACAAGAATAGGATAAATGTGCTGAGCAAGTATCAAGAACTGCACATGCAGTAGTTACTAAACGGTCAGCATGGCAAATGTAACAAAACATTACCAAAAATACTAGCTTAAGGGTGACATTGCCCTCTCTTTTGTAGATCTTAAAACAAAGTAAACATTAACCCTGTGGGGAAACTCATTCACAACTAAACAACTTAGAGTCACACAGTAATACGCAGAAGAAAGTGGAAGTGGCAACCCCATGTCCCTCCAAAACACACAGGCAGATTTCTGTTCAACTGACTACAACTTTTTCTTATTTACATGTGACTACACACAGTTCCTCAGGATTGATCACAACTTCCTCCTGTTTTTCTGTGACCACACAAAATTTCTCTAACACACCAGCATTCCTCTGCAATCTACAATCATACATAATATGCTCTATTACAGTGTGTCACTTCATGCCTTCCAAAACAAGAACAGTCATTAGCTTCAAGTCATCTGTTAAAGTGGATGCTACTACATACAACACTAAATGTGCTACTACTGAATTGGAACTCAAGTCACATTACATATGCAATTTCTTTCTTCTGAGTTTCTGGGTCTGCAGTTTAATCTGAGTTAATGTATTAGTATTTTTACTCCCACTATTGCATAGAAAACTTTTTTTTTTAAAACGACCAGTGCCAAACTACCATTAGGGAAAAAGTTAAACTGACCGTATAAACACAATAGAGAAACATATGGTTAAAATGTATACTTTAGTTAGCAAGAAAAAAATCTGATTGCCCTTCAGTTAAAGTAATCCGGCTCGTCGAGATTACTTAGGTCCCAGGCTGCACAGCATAAACTGAGGTTTGAAAAATAAAACATACATTCTTACTGGCATGAGTTTATTAATGGGGTTTTGTAGAAGGGACAAAAAAAAAAAAAGTAATCCAAACTTCTGTATCTCTCAAGATTCCTCTATTGTATCAGCTGGAACTGATACAACTCACAGAGCTGGAACCCAAACGACAACCCCAAACCGACGGGGCACGCAGCGATCACCAGCGATCATCACAGGACACACACGGGTGTACAGGGGTGAGGAATAAGGCGCGCCGACCCGGGAGCCACAGCAGCGAGTGCGCTCGCCGCAGGGTGACGGCACAGACCCGAGGGGAGACCTGCGCGGGGCTCAGCATGGTCCTTCTCGGCCTGTCGGGATCCCGCTTGCTCGGTGCCCGCCCGCCCGGGCGCCCAAGCCCCGGTACCGACCCCGCCTAGGGCGAGTTTCTCTCGCTCGGTGGTGCCGAGACAGGCAAGCCGAACTCTGTCTTTCTCCTGAAGGGCGCCGGCGGTGCAGCAGAGCCGTCCCCGCGTCGCCCCTGTCAACAGACGGTCTGTCCGCCAGCCCCGCTCCCCGCGGGGCACAGCCCGGCCCGCGGCCCCCGCACTGACAACACCACGGGCAGCCGAGTCCGGGCACAGCCCCGTCCGGGCACAGCCAGCGGCCGCGGCGATCGGAGCTTCCCGGGAGCGGCACCGTTCCGGGGAGCGGGACACGGACACGGCGGCAGCTCCGCTCGGGCCGGGCCCCGCGGCCAAGGAAAGCCCCTCCGGAGAGGCGCCCGCCGCCCGGTTCAGCCCAGCCCGGTCCGGCTCGGCTCGGCTCGGCCCGGTTCAGCGCTACTCACCTCCTTCACGGGGGGGAATTTTTTCCGACACTCCAGGCTCAGGCCCCGCAGGTCCCCCTGCATGTTTTCCAGCAGCTTCTTCACGGCTTCGGGGCTGCTGGTCCCGGCCATGGCGCCGCCGGGCCGGCCCCGGGCCGGGCGCTGTTCCGAGCGGGCAGGGGCAGCAGCGCCTGTGGTTGCGCGGCCCCGGCCGACACGTCCGCGCCCCGCACCGGAACCCTCCGGCCCGTCCCCGACCGCGTCCCCTCCCCGCGCCGTGGCCCCCCCGCTCCCACAATCCCGGGCGCCGGCAGCTTCCGCACACACGGCCGGGGGCGGGGAGAGCGGCGGCTGCGGGCAGGGAGGGCGGGACGGAGGGACGTGGCACCCGGGCCTGGCCTGCCGGGCACGGCGCGGGGAGCGGGAGCTGTGCCCGCAGCGCCACCGGGCCCGTGGAGGTGCAGCGAGGCGGGACCGCCAGCGCTGGGAGCTGCTGTGGGGACAGGACAAACTGCGTCCGTGGACAAGGGTCACTGGGGAATGGGATGGCGGAGCTGCTTGGGCTTAAGCAGCAGCCAACCCCACCAAGCGGCTGGAGGGATCGGTCCACTTTGGCCAAGTCCGACTCTCAAGGGAATTCGGCGCTGAATTCGACTTAAAAAAAATAAAAAGCGAGACGGATTGTTATGTTTTCCTTTTGAATCCTGACGTTTCTTCCTTTCTTTCCAGTGCAAGACCCTCACTGAAGATATCGTCTGGGCACAATCCTGTGCCATGTGCTCTAGGATGCCCCTGCTTGAGCAGGGAGGTTGGACCAGATGACCTACTGTGGTCCCTTCCAACTTGACCCATTCTGTGATTCTTCAGCGGGAGCGAAGCTTTGTGACCTTTGCAACCCGTGTGTATATGCAGCTCTCCGTGTTTTCCTCTGGGCAAAGCCGGAGTGAATCCTTCATTAAGATTATTTTTAGATAAACACAGACAGGGCAAGAACAAGGGGATGTGGAATAGTTGGGTCCCAAGTACCTTCCGTGTCACCAACAGTGTCTCTCTGAAATCTAAAAGCATTACAAACAGCAATTTTTAACCCATTTCTAAAGCAAGAATAATGAGCATGAGCTCCTCAGTAGCTGTTGCTTGTAGTAATGCAGGGAGCTTCCTTCTGGAGGACACCATCATTGTAACAGTTAATATTTCATAAAGGTTTTTGGTCTCCACAATAATAATTTTTCCACATTCTATTTACTGTAAATCATGTACTGTGATGGCTGCCTACCTGTAATGCAGCATGGTTTTGTTCCCCTTTCATAAACAGGGAGTTGGAAAACATCCTTGAGTTTTGACATGCTGTGGTTTTCAAACTTGGGAATCTTGGAAAAAAAAAAAAATCCAAATGAAGAATAAATTTTACTGCAGTACTATTTTTAAAGTTTCTATTTTAAATAACAGCTTTTCTTCAGACTTTTCTGAAATTCTTCATTCTTATTCAGAGAATGTGAAAAGAACTTCTCATAAATTCGAGCATCCCTACTTGTATGTTGGGTTCGTTTGCTGTGACATCCATTGCAAATCATATAACAAATAGGTTCCCTCTGGCACAGCACTGAACACTCTACCTGTACTTATAAGTCTTTAGGGGTGCTTTGTGAGGTAAAGAGAGCAGGATTGTTTTCTAAGTAATTTATTGTTTTCAGATTTTTATTTTTACATTTTCATTTTACTGGCTGTTAGCTTGACGGAACTGGATAAATGGGTGTGAGTTTTTAAAACTGCGTGTAATACTGGCACAGTTGAATTACATGGTCAGACTTTGCCTTCAGACAAGGAATTAGGATTTCACTCTGTGTTCAGTAAAAGCAAACGTATGATTGAACAAAACTGTTGTCTTCAGTAGAACTATTTATGTGCTTAACCAATAAGTATTTTCCTAAGGATTTTCCTGTCTTGGTGCTTCAGTCCTGGTGGCAATTCATAGCACAGTGCAAATAACCTTAATAAGAAAAATGGATGATTAGCTAGGAGAATGAGTTAATTAATTATTGAGTATGCCTGTGTATTTCTTAGGTAAGCTTTAATGACTGACTTCCTTTTCGTTGTTTGGATTTTTCCACCTATTTACTGTACGTAGTGAGCTGTGGGCACATTTGTACTCCCCGAATCTACTTGTCTGCCTATTTGTATACTTTTTATCATTTACATCGATCATACATATCTCTTCAACTACCAGCTTTGACACTCAGTCTGCTGCCAGCCAAATACCGCAAGATTCTCCTGGGTTTGGAAATGAATTTTACAAGTGGTTACAGAATTGAAAGCTCTGTCAGATATGCTGAGTATGAGGATTGGGAACTATACACATGCCTGGATCTCAGGTGAGTCTCTTGAACAACAAGGTCCTCTTTCTCACTGTTTTGATGTATGCCTTTTGTAAACACAGATTTATTAGTTAAGCTGAGTCAGAGCAGTGAAACTGTTTGAACTAGCCAGGATCCTTTTAAGTGACACTGTTTTGACTGTGAGTGTGACTTCTGCAGTTGCATTTCATTGCAATAGATTCTGTTGCTTGCACTCCTAAGGCTGAGTAGTTCTTGCCAGTCTTTTCACAGACTTTAAATATCTCAGTTTCAAGTCAAGTTGCTTTTGAATGAGAAGGTGGAACAACAGATGTGGATGAGGGCGCATTTTTGACTAGCAAATTAAGAATACTAGTTAGTTGTTAAGCTAACTTAATTGGGAACTCTACACATACCTGAATCTCAGATGCATCTCTTAGCTGTTAAGCTAATTTTGTATTGCACTGCAATTATTGCATTGTGGTTTGCTTTGTTATTAAATTGTGTGTTATTTTGTGAGGGGCAGTAGGTGATTGAAATAATTCCCTGTAGCTTTATGGCCCTAATTACCAACAAAAATGCTCATGAGACCTGTTGTGATTCATTAAATTACCTCATGTTCATTCCAAATGATGTGCATCAGTCCCTTTAATTGGATTAAACATGGGATAGTACTTGGCTGTATTAATTTCAGATGTTTAGTCCTAGTTATAGTCCATCCTGGTAGATGTATGCAGATGCAGGTTTTGTATATGAGTCATCATGTTACACAGAGGCAAAACCATCAGATTTCATTCACTGTGGCAATGAATTGGTTTCATCCTGATGGAAAGAGTTACGGCTTTTCCTCTGAGTTCACTTTAGTAACACTCCTGTATACTTTTGTAATTTATATGAATCTGTAAATAGTGACAGTACTAAACAAACTTCATAATATGAGAAACCAATTGTGTGGAAAAGTAAAGGTGTTTGCAGACATCTCTGGTGATTTTTTGTACTGCAGAGTTAAGAGTCATGATAGAGAAAATTTTGCCTCACATTGAACATAGACACTGATATCAAAAGGCAAATTTAAATTTCAAATTAAAAGACAGTGAGAGATGGGTTAATATGAAATACTTCCTGTAATCTTTTATAAAAACTATGCATTGTATTGGTCTGTGTAAGCACAAAGAAGCCCTTTCCTATGTGAACACTTCAGCAGATCCTTCTTAAATTACAGACATAAGAAGTGGGGCATGAGAGTATTTCTGTTGTGACACAAATGGGTTAAAAGCACAAGTAATAAACTCCCCTCTAGGACCTATTCTCTTTTTTTAATGGAATAGAAATGAAGGCCTTGTTCCTTGAGGATGTGGCTGCGCAAGAAAGTTAGATCAACTAGCAGATTGAAAAATACCTTATTTTCCAGTGTAAACTCCTCATGAGTTTAGCTTCTGTTCCTTTCTGCATAGGTGTGAGCATATGTTTACATGTTAGTACACATTTTATTTGTATATTTACAGTTAATACACACTTTATTTCACTTGGTCAGCTAAAAGAGCAATCCCAGCTGCTGTCTATGACTACTTAGGTTACATTTTCTTTAAGGTCACTGACAAAAATATGAAGCAGCAATGCCCAAAATGGCAGAGCTATGATGTGTATTAGATACTCAACAGTGATTCTCTATTGAGCTGCAGGACAGTCATTTCAAGGCTTACATACAGTTCTCTCAACCAGAGGCTCAGATGCTTCCATGACTCTTGTGTAACCAGCCAGTAAAGCTGTTTTTCCAATTTTTTCTGCTTGAATCTTGTCCAAACAGATTCTCAGAGCAGTGGGGGGTTTTTTGTGTTGCCCTTTCAAGTACTGGTAATTGAATCAGCTGAACCTGGTAACATCTTTTGTGAGAAAAAACTGCTGTCCACTGCTTGAATTAATTTATTGCTGTTTTACAGCTAGCAGTGTAACAACAGACCGACAGAGACATGATAATCACCAAATTTTATCAGCAGCTCCCAAGCCCTTCATACTTTCCAGCTCACACAGGAGGTATGTGGCTGGCCTGGGAAACAAACCTTACTCTGTGCTTTAAAATGAATTCGTCTTTCATTCCCTTACACAAATAACAAAATTAATGTCTGTTCAGGCAGCACCTATGATTTTTTTGCCTGCAGGGTGTGCAATGCAGCCCATTCATGATACTTTTTTTTTCCTGCAAAGTGAAGAAAATAGAGGAACATTGATATAGAGGTTACTTGACAGTTGTTTACGTAGAAAATCCCCATGCTGACCATTGCTGCCACCTTAACAATTAGCACAGTGTGAGGTCACAGTCAGCTTCAGAGATGTTGCACTTCTGATCATAATTTACTGCAATCTTGACATCTGTTTTTAGGAGTTTCATTTTAGAGATAAAGGCATAGATGTGCTGAAGCAAAATAATTGTGATTCTAGGCACAGTTCTTTGATCCAGAGCTCTTCTAGTGGACAATGGATTCAGCTACACTCTAGGGATAAGTTTTTTCCTGAGTATCTCATGCTGACTGCAGGATGCCTAACTTAAAAATCCCCATCAGGAATGTCAGAAATGTGCACTGTGCTGCAGTCTGTTTATTTTGCTGCTCTCTCATCTATTTGGCAAAACCCTCACTATATCTTAATAATTTCCCTTTTATCTCTTCTTCAGCTTGTATGAAAATTATGGAAGTACTTCCAGACACCTATTAACCTACAGACAATCTATTAATCACGAAGCAACACCAGAGAGGAGCCCTGAGGCTGCTGAATGATACCATTACTACAGGAGAGTTTCCATCAGCTGAATGGACGTTAGTTCCTTTGTTAGTTCCTTTATATAGCCAGACACTGCACTCATATCTATAAAACACAGAAAATAATTGTTAGAAATAGCTACACTCACTATATTCACGTAAGTAGCACGGAGGCCAGCACGCTGTGTAGATGTGCTCACACTGCCACAGCAACACTGCTGGCGTGACCAATGTAATTTGTAGCTAATTCAACCCAGCCTAGAAAAGACTCAATATGACCAAGTACTTCCGAGGTCCTCCAGCACGACTGTTTGCAAAGATTACTGAAGTGTGACTGTTTAATTCTTTTACAGGAAGTTCTATAAACCTTGAGGATTAGAAATTTTCTACGGAAGAGATCCAGATGAAGAACTGCTTGGTGGAGAGGCCTTGATTTACCTTATGTATTGTATTCATCTTTGTTGCTTTATGAAGATTATAGACCTCTTATTTCATTCAGAGAAATTTGCCCTTGATATGAATATTTGTAGAGCTGCACGTGTGGCTGTGTTTATAACCAACAGTCTGAAATAAATTTGGTTACTCAGGTTACGTCCAAACAGATGAGCAGAATGAACTTACTTCTCAGGCAGTTTGGAAGACAGCCAAAGGAATCCAATCACAAAGAGCCAAATTCTTTCCTTTGTAGTAAAATGGTTACCCAGATCACCTCCACAAGTGAATATTCATTCCAAAATAAGCAGGGCTATACTTCTGTATGTATCTACGTCCTGGGTAATGTGCTAGCAGGAATGTCCATAACTAAAGATGCATACATGTGGCAATTTCATAGTTGGTACTGGTGTTTTGGCAGCATTTCTATAAGTTGTACTGAGTATTTCACAAATAGCAGCCACTTTCTGTAACCTGCTCCCAGGGCACAATGGATGAGCTTGTCTATCACCTCACACCAGTGCATGGATGGGCTTTTGGCTGACTGTTGGCTGGAGCATAGGAAATTCCAGGTCAGAACACTTACTGTTCCACCTGAGAGCCAAGGCCTGGAGCTACTGAACAGATCATTAAGTAGGATGTAAAACTTGTTCAGCCAGTCTGAAACCTTATTTACCTTTGACAGCATGGTCATCATTAGATTCCTATGACTAATTATTTCTACGGGCCTTACTTCCCTGCTCCAATCCTAACTAACTAAACCAAACCATGACCTAAGAACATTTGACAAACAATTGAACTGTAAAATTAGGACTTAACATGTACTGCGTATTGAGAGATTCTTTACCCAATGGTGTGCTCCTGACCAGCTCAGCCACAGTTTGTTATGGGGGATACAAATATCTGGTGGGCTTGAATGTCATATTTTGCTGGAGGTAAGATTACAGATAGCCAGGACCAGGCTTGCCAACAGAGTTACAGTAGAATTTCAAAGAAATAGACACTTCCTTGTCCTATGAGGAGCGACTGAGGGAGCTGGGGTTGTTTAGCCTGGAGAAGAGGAGGCTCAGGGGAGACCTCATCACTCTCTGCAACTCCCTGAAAGGACGTTGTAGCCAGGTGGGGGTTGGCCTCTTCTTCCAGGCAACTAGCAATAGGACAAGAAGACATAGTCTTCAGCTGTGCCAGGGCAGGTTTAGGTGAACATTAGAAAGAATTTCTTCACAGAAAGCGTGATTATACATTGGAGTCTAATGCCTGGGGAAGTGGTAGAGTCACTATCCCTAGAGGTGTTTAAGGAAAGACTGGATGTGGCACTTAGTGCCATGATCTGTTTGACATGGTGGTATTTGACCAGAGGTTTTTTCCAACCTAATTGATTCTGTGTATTTTTTTTTCCCCCGATTGGCTCCTGATCTCAAGACATTATCAAACACTTGCACACAGAGACTGCGAAAAAAGAATATGGCTCTTCTATTACTGTCTTATTTCAAAATATAATGTGCTAGAATTCACCTCTAGTTTTTTTCTATTCTACTGGTTTTCTGTATCTTTCACTAAGAAGTTATATCCATTGCTAGAAACCAAATTACTTTTTTCCCATCTCTACAAGGCAAACCACAGCTTTTAAAGATTTTAATTCTCATTTGCCTGTTAGTGAGTGATATTTGCAGTATTTGCTTCTTTTAATCACAGAACTCTGCTCTTTTTTTAATCCTGTACCACCTCCTTATTAGTATCCTACAGCTACTTTCTCATTACATTCATCTTTTCTATTCATGCAGTATATTCTCTATATTCTTGCCCTTGTCTTAGCTGTGATTCATTGTTTTTACATGTGTTCACAGATCTGCATTATTTCTTTCCTCCTAAAGGGGACAAATCCAGGCTCACCAGTCATGAGTGACGGGATGGTGTGCCAAAACTTGAAGAAACGGTACTCCTGGGACCCCGGAGTCTGCCTCAGGAGATGTTGGCTACAATGTACCACTTCTGAAGTGTTTCTACACCAATGAATGCAGCATGAGGAACAAACTAGAGGACCTCAAAGCTTCGGCCTAGTCCCAGAGATTTCACATTGTTGGCATAAGTGGAACCTGGTGGGATGAGACCTGTGACTAGAGTGCCCTGTTGGATGGTTACAGGCTCTTCAGGAGAGACAGGCAGGGCAGAAGAGGCAGCGGGGTGGTGCTGTATGTGACAGAACAGTTAAAATGTATGGAGCTCACAGCTGGCAATGGCATCGTTGAGAGCCTCTGGGTAAGAATCAAGGGGCAAACAAATAATGTGGATGTCATTGTGGGAGTCTCCTACAGACCTCCCAGCCAGGATGCTGACGCTGACAAATTATTCTTTGAGGCACTAAGGGACACTTCCAAGTCAACTGCCCTTGTCCTTATGGGGAACTTCAACTTGACAGAAATTAACTGGCAGCATCACGCAGTTGATCAGCCCAGCAAGAAGATTCCTTAAAAATCTGGATGACAACTTTATGGAACAGGTCCTAAGGGAGCCAACTCAGAAGGATGCCCTCCTTGATCTGCTGCTTGTCAACAGAGCGGACCTCCTGAGAGAAGTGGAGATTGGTGGCCGGCTAGGCCAGTGCAACCACAAAGGGATTGAGTTTGAAATCTCTGTTGACAGGAGGAAAAGTGCCAGCAAAACCTCAACTCTGGACATGAGGAGAGCAGACTTCAGGCTGTTCAGGGAATTAGTGAGTAAGGTCCCTTGGGAAAATGTTTTTGCAGGTGCTGGGATCCATCAGTGCTGGTCACTTTTTCAACACAGGGCACAGGGGAAGGCAATTCCCAAATGCTGGCAGTGAAGAAGGTGAGGCAGAAGGCCATCTTGGCTGAACAGGCAGGAATCTTCTCTTGGGGATAAGGCAAAAAAGGAAGGTGGATGCCCAGTGGAAGCAAGGTCAAGTGACATGGGAAGACTTCAGAGATGCTGCTTGCCAACGTAGGGAGAAAATTTGTGTGGCCAAAGCTCAACACGAGTTGAAGCTGCCAGAAATGTGGGGGACAATACAAAGAGATTTTTCAAATACATTAATGGCAATAGGCAGTATAGAAATATCATTGTCCCGTTCAAGGATGAGGTCACCTCACAAACAGGGAAAGGGACAAGGCAGAGGTGTTTAATGCTTTCTTTGCCTCTGTCTTCAACACGAATGATGAACCAAGGGGGTCTCAGTGCCCTGAGCTGGAGGATCATGACTGCGAGAACGATCAACTCCCAGTCAACCCTGAAACTGTGTGGGATCTGCTGCTCCATGGATCCCTACAAATCCATGGGGCCTGATGAGATTCATCCCAGAATCCTCGAAGATCTGGCTGATCTCCCAAAACCTCTCTCGATTTTTGAGTAGTCTTAGGAATCCAGAGAGGTCCCAGCTGACTGGGAGCTGACAAACCTTGTCCCAATTTTCAAGAAGGGCATGGAGGACCCTGGAAACTACAGGCCTGTCAGTCTCACTTCAGTGCCTGGAAAAGTTATGGAGATTATTCTCAGAGGTGTGTTGAAAAACACCTGAGAGACAATTTTGTCATTGGTCACAGCCAGCACAGCTTCATGAGAGGAAGTCCTGCTTATCAAACCTTATTTCTTTTTATGACAATGTAACCCACCTAGTTGATCAAGGGAAGCCAGCTGATGTAATCTTTCTGGATTTCAGTAAAGCTTTCGATACTGTCTCTCACAGGATCCTTCTGGACAAAATGTCCAGCACACAGCTGGATGAACACATCACTGGTGGGTGAGCAATTGGCTCACAGGTTGAGCAGAGTGAATGGGGTAGCATCAGACTGGTGACCTGTCACTAGTGGGGTTCCACAGGACTCTATCATCAGCCCTGTGCTCTTCAACATGTTCATAAATGACTTGGAAACAGGACTGGAAGGGATACTGAGCAAGTTTGCAAATGACACAAAACTGGGAGGAGCTGTTGACTCCCTCGAAGGCAGGAAGGCCCTGCAGAGAGACCTCGACAAATCAGAGGACTGGGCAATCAACAACCATATGAAGTTCAACAAGGGGAAGCGCTGGATTCTGCACCTGGGATGGGGCAACTCTGGCTGTTCATACAGACTGGGGTACAAGATGCTGGAAAGCAGTGCCATATAAAGGGACCTGGGGGTCCTGGTCAATGGCAAGTTGAACATGAGTCAGCAGTGCCCTGGCAGCCAAGAGGGCAAACATGTCCTGGGGGTATCAGGCAAAGCATCACCAGCTGGTTGAAGGGGTGATTGTCCTGCTCTGCTCTGCACTGAGGTGGCCTCACCTTGAATACTGTGTGCAGTTTTGGGCACTGCAACATAAGAAAGCTGCTAGAGAGCCTCCAAAGGAGGGCAACGAAGATGGTGAAGGAGCTTGAGGGGAAGCTGTGTGAGGAGTGGCTGAGGTCACTTGGTCTGTTCAGCTTGGAGGAGAGGAGACTGAGTGGTGACCTCGTTGCAGTTAAAACTTCCTTGTGAGGGGAAGAGGAGGGGCAGATACTGATCTCTCCTCTATGGTGACCGGTGACCGGACCCAAGGGAATGGCTAGAAGTTGTGCCAAGGGAAGTTTAGGCTGGATGTTAGAAAGAAGTTCTTCAACCCAGAGGGTGGTTGGGCGCTGGAACAGGCTTCCCTGGGGACAGACACCACCAAGCCTGACAAAGTCCAGAAGCATTTGGATGATACTCCCAGGCACGTGGTGTGACTTTTGGGAGGGGTCCTCTGCAGGGCCAGGAGATGGACTCAATGATCCTTGCAAGTCCCTTCCATCTCATCATATTCTGTGATTCTTTGATTCTGTGATATTACAGGAACAATTTACATCCTAAAAATGAGCTTCCTAAATTACAGACTGACCGTGACATTACCCAAACAGAAATTCAAAGATTATAGAGGATAACCAAATGCTTCCCATATTAAGTAGTACTGCAACCTTCTTTGATTTATCTCTTAATCTGCACGACATTATCTGAAAAATATTACACAAAAAGTTACGTTTAAATTTCCTTATCTTGTAAGGCATTATTTCCTATACCAAAAATCAGTATGTTTTTTGTATTTACTTTTAATAGGTATAGATGATAGACTCAGTAATTACTGTCCCTTCTGTTTGCACTTTCTCCTCAGCCAAAAGACGCACTCATATTTACACAGCACCCACAGTGTAGTATGTATTTTAGAACACTGACAGATGTTGAAAACAAGCATAGCTCATCTGAATTCTGTAGCTATGATCTGAATATTTTGCACATTGAATGAAAACATTAATTTTAGACCAGGTGTCACTAACTTCTCCGATAACATCCCTATTCCACAATGACTTCCTAATGGAAACTATTTTGAGCCTTTTGGTCAGTTCCTAAACTTTGTATTGGTGATATTGCATAACGTTCATGTTTTGATGACAGCAATGTGATACTTAAGGTGACAATTCAGTGCCAAGCACTGAAATATTTGTAGGTGCATCTAAATTACCATATTTATCAACTGTCTTTTTCAATTACTGCCTGCCCATATAACAAAATTTACTTTTCATAAAGGCATGTGGACAGATGTGAATTCTTTATTATTCAAGTCCTGTATCAGCTTTTGTATTATTTGGCTCAGGGTGACTGTTAGCGCTATCTGGCTGTGTTGGGTTGACCTTGGCTGGATGCCAGGTGCCCACCCAGCCTCTCTATCACTCCTCTTTCCCACCAGACAGGGGAGAGAGTAAGATGGAAAACAACTCATGGGTTGGGATAAGGCACTTTATTAAAGCAGAAACAAAGCAAACGCTTGCCCACATCGATGGTCGGCCACTGCCAAGAAGCAGGGCTCCAGCACGTGTGATGGTCCCTCAGCAGGCAGCCACTGGAGACAGTGAATGCCTCCCTTCCTGCTCCTTGCCTCAGCTTTTGTATCTGAGCTGACTACATACGGTCTGGAATATCCCTTTGGTCAGTTTGGGTCAGCTTTGGCCTGCGTGTGTCCCCTCCCAGGATCTTCCCCTCAACTGAGGAAGGAATGTTACAGTGCGGATGCTCAGCAGTAGCCAAACACCGGTGTGTTATCGACACCCTTCTGGCTACCAGTGCAAAGCACAGCACTGTGAGAGCTATTAATGGGGAAATGAACTCCAGCTCAGCCAGACCCAATACACTAGCATATAGTAATCCAGTTCATTCCCTAAATAAATTTGTCACATTTGGACTATTCCAGGGTTTCCGTATCACTGCAAGATGTAATTTCTTTTTAGTAAGATAGGTCTCTCTGCCTGCCTCAGGAGCACATGATGCCAGTAAAGCATGCAATCTTGGAACTAGGGAAGTGGAACCATTTTCACAGTGTTTACCCCCTAAGGAAAAAGAATTTAAAAAATCTGAAAAGAGCAATTTGCTTGCAGACTAAGAATATGCTTATTCTATCAGATGCAGCTTTCTTGTTTCACTACATTTATGGTGATTTTCTTTCTCAAAGTAATGAGTGTGCAGAAACAATGAAAAGGCATAACTTGCACATACAAAGTCTGACATCAAAGAAGGCGACATATATATAATGGGAAGACTTCGCGAGCAAAGATCCGGGGAAGGTCTTTACACCTTCCAGCCTGCGCATTGGATTTTTTTTTTTTTTTAGGTGAGACACAGTGCTTTTTGAAGAAAACTAGTGGGTTTGCCAATTAATTACTTTGCCAGCCCTACTGACTTCCTTCTAAAGATATGAAATTACTTACAAAAATACACTTCATAACACAAGGCTAACTTCCTGGGAAACCTAGAAGGGGTTGTGGCTCTGCCATCAGCAAATAGTGGTAGTTGCAGTATCTGACAGGGGAACGGCTTAAGAGCTTTTCTCATCTTGTCAGCTCAGCTGTAAGCTGCAAACTTCACCTCAGTGTGCCAGGAGGGCAGGTGGGACTTGAATGTAGGAGGGTGATGGAAGAGATCAGGGACCTGATCTGCACTGAAGCATTCAGAACATTGTCTGAAGCCAACCAGAACAAGAGGTCCTGGGAAGTATCTCTGCACCTCTCCTTCCCTTCCAGTGTGGCTTTAAATGACATATTGCTGTCACAAAATCCTTGGAGTAACTGGGAATTACAAGCTGTCAACTGCCTCCTACTCTCTTTTGTTTTGGTGACTGTCTTATTAACAAGGTTAAGTGAATCTTGTAATTGTAGGGTTTATGTTGATACTTATTTACAGCAAGCTTTTTGATGAAAAAAGAAAGCTGACTATAGATTTTATCTGACATGATTCATAGAGATGTTAGAATCCTCTTCTCTATATGAATGTCTAGTTGAGTGACAATAATTTTTGATAAACACTGTAAATAATAATATACTTTCTGTAGTATTAAGGATGTCCACACTGGATGAGTTATCATATCTTATGTGTAAATATATAAAGTTTGATGACACTCACAACTTGACTGAATTCCCAGAAACCTCTGAGACACCCATAGAAATGTTGCTGTTTTTTTCTCTCTCTTTAGGAAGCTGATTACAGAAACTGTGTGCGTGTAATCTTGGAAGCCAAATTAACAATAACACAGAATTGCGTAAGTTTTTCTAACTAAATGCTACTTTGATAAATACCCTTTTAAATTTTAGTTGGATGATACAACTATTAGTAGGTAAGTACATTCCTTCAAATATAAGATTCCATGTATTTGCATTTTCAAAGGGAGAATGAAGTGTGTTAGGAGACCTGAGTTATCAGATATTAAAGCTCCAACCTACCAACTCCTAAGTACTTTGGTAAATCAAACTAGATCCTTTGCTCCTCTCCGATTTTTCCCACCAAGTTCTAGGCTAACACAATATGGAAAAACAAATGGGAGTATGAATGTAGGGGGCCTCTTTGTATGTGTTATTCAAAGAGTAGGTCACTTCTCCGGAATTACTTCCTCTACTCCACAGATAACCCTCATTTAATTCGTAAATATTTAGATCAAAGCTTTGTACTGGGTTACTGTATTCTATACCTAAATACAAGGTTTTAAGCCACAAGCTTATATCACCCCCCCACTGGTTTATGTAACCTTAAATATATTCCCTGATTTCACCAAACATCTCACAATTAGTATCTTTCCATTTGATTACTGTTACAGAATTACTTTTAAGAACAAAATATTTATGACAATACACTGCTTTTGCAACCTTATAAATACTTTTAGACCCAATGACAGGACAGAAACCCCTTTTTATATACTATAGTCTGGAAATATTATTAATCTTATTCTGTGTTGGTCATTAAATAGCCATTTTGTAACTGAGGATGTAAGTCTTAGAAAAAGATTATGCAGACACACTGTGAGAAAAAAAGCATGTAACAAAATGCAACACTAAATAAGGCCTTGAATAGCTTTATTGAAATCTGTATAAATAAACATGCGCATTTCAAATGTAAACCCAAGTGAACTCAAGTGCAGACAAAATTTTAACCTCTGTCATGCAGGAGGTTAGTTTACATTAAAAAAAAAAAACAAACCTCAAAGCAGCTTTAAAATACCAGGATGAAACACCAGTTTTAATATCAAGGTATAAAGCAAAGCCATGTCCAACATATCTCATTTATATCCTGGTCAAATGCAATTTTTTAAACTTTTTAATGCTAACATAAATAAATAATTTACCAAAATGTGCACTCACAGAGTGAACTTTTATTTACAATACACAATTTATAACCTATTGTATTTGATTAGTTCAAGTGAAGAACATCAGACTTTTTGCTTTTTTCTTTTTTTAAATTGTTTAAACAGTGGGACACCAAGCAATTCTCCAGGTAGTAGATATGTGACGTGTGCCCCCACACTTAAAAGCCCCTCTCAAAGGCAGTATTGTATACAAATCAACAATACATTCTTCCAACTAGATCAATGGGAAAGCAGCAAATCAAAAAATGTTTCAAACTGTCACACTTATTTTGGCATCCTGGACCCCTGAACACAGTTAACTGAAATCCAATTCGGAGTTTGTATGCCTTATATACTGTACAGGTTCTGACTTGAACATGCAAATGCCAATTCTCTTATAATTATGAGTTACCTTTTCAGATGCACTGTAAGGCTATGGTGAATTCCATCAGGAACACACAAAGAAAATCAACAGATCTACCTTTAAAGTGATTTTGTTAATTAACAATTTAAAGGCAGGTTATACTGAAAAAATTCTCAACTAAGCCTGATACACAGTCATTACTATGGATACAGAATACTATTAACTTTGACCTTAATACAGAGTAGTTTGCAAGCTGTCAAACTACAAAAACTGGGGAAAGAGAACTTACAGCACAATTTTAAATTTTGGACTGATACCAGATTAAAATTATGCATATCTTATAAGCAAGATAACAGGAATTATGTCTGCAGAGTAGATTCCAACAAGCAACAATGGATACTTACATTTAATTGAAAACCCTTTTGTTAATGCAGCATGAAATCCAGAACCTGTTCCACAGCAGCAGTAAGATGAACATAATATTCTGGATGTTCCACTATAACACAAAAGGTTAAAACACCTTTTTCAAGCTATTTCTTCTACTGTGACCAAATTTAAAAAAAATTAGGGAGAAACAAAAATTTGCTGTTTCAAAAAAACTACTACTGTAGTTATTCATGACATTTTTACTTGTAGTCTGTGTGGCAGCTAAGGAACATTTATATAGTCATCCAGAAACTAGACTTGGCAGTAGTATTCTTGCAATACTTATAAAATAAATGTCAGAAGTCCACAGATTTAATATTTTAGTTATTAACTCACATCCAAAACAAAAAAAAAACCCAAAACATAATCCATCAGAACAGCAGCAGAAACTTAAAAGGGGTTTATTTGTGATTTCCTATATATACCTTGTGAATACGAGACTGTAAATGCATTAGAGACAATTTCTGTTTAAGTTTTTATTGTTTCACTTCAAGTACTGCACATGTTAAAATGTAATAAAGATTTACATTCTGTTATCTGAAACTCCCCATCTCAGATTTTAATTCTTAATTTGGTGGGCATTTTCACTCTTTCCATCGGTATCCCCAGTAAGAGTCTCTTTTATGGCTTCTAGTTCTTCCCATTAGTTAGTGTGCATACAATTTTCATTTTCTATATCATTATCATTTTCATTGCTGTCTTCATCACTTTCTAGTGGGATGCCTGTGGCAGCTGAAGCACCTTGTTTAGTTTCCCGGTCAAGTGGGAAAAAGCCAGTTCCACTGATTGTGTCCTGTCTCTGGTAGAAGAGCACATATGCTGCTTTGGACTGTAAAAGAGAAAAGTGTAATATGTTCATGAGGTCCCAGACAAAACCTTTGCAACCCAAGTTACAAATTTTTTTTTTTTTTTTTGCTTACAAGTATACAAGGTGAAATTACAAAGAAATCTAAATCTTTCACTTAAGTTATTTTTGCATGTTGGAGCAAACCATTTTTGGTTTGTACTGTCCTTTGAGAGAACACAAACTACTATCTATTTAATGCAAGTTTCATGGTTTACTATTCATTTTTCTTCCCTCAAGAAAAAAATATCAACAGTCCTAATTTTAGAAACACAAAAGGTACTTGCCACTATTTGGTCCTCACACGCAGTGGACACACTACTGTCATCAAAGTAGTACCATTTTCCATCATCCTTATTTTTCGCAAAAGCAGTATCTAGGACAAAAAAAGGACAAAAATGTCTTAGGACTTTGTATCTTCAAAGATCAGTTGCTAGAGTCTGTTACTGTCAAATACTCCCCATTTAACTAACTTAAACCTATGATCAGTATTAAGAATCACCTTTCACACTTTTTTCCTCTCTACTTTCAAGGAGTTGCACAATGAACAAAAATACAGATAAGCAAGGGAAAATCAGTTGTAAGAGTACACTAGCTCTTATGGAGCTCTTATATTTTCTCTTTTCACTATGTGCATAGCTAGAAATATAAAAGAACCTACCATTATCCTTGAAAGCTCACTGCATACAGATTTTTGTGTTAGAGTACTTGTGAAAGCATTTCAAGGCAATGAAAAAAAATTGTCCTTAAATCATTAAAAAGCACCACTGATTCAAAGTGATCAGTGCTTAAATCAAAATCAACACAGAAAGAAAGCTGACATGTAGAATGATGACACTTGAAATCAACTTACAATGTCCTCCTCCCATTCCTCCATAGTGGTTGGAGACAGCAATCAAGTTGTAGCGGCAAGGCCCTGCATTAGGATTAATAAGGAACTCTGACATGTCCAAGTCACTGTTAAAAAACAAAATAAAACAAAATAAAACAAACACAAAAAAAACCCAACCAAAATTCATCCATGTTAATATTTTTAACCATTTTACATTTTGGTGGTCTTCAAGCCCTTTACCTTATATTCCTTACAAAAAAACACATACACCAGACTATTCTGACAGTGCATCTCTTTCACTCTGTGAGAAGTGGGGCAGGAACCAGTACTCTTTCATATTTATCTACTATCATTATTTTTCCAAGTTCATACTTTTAACCTACAAGTACAGTGTGTACTTGTTACATAATTGCTGTATTAAACATGTGCCCTAGTCATGCTTTTACACTTCTAGAACCAAAATATTTAGGTTTCTTACTTTATTGGAAAGTCAACCAATGTATCCAACTTGTCCCTCATATATCTGCTGTAGGAAAAGCGCTTTAGATGAACTACCAGTACAGGGGGCAGTGACCACAAGTCTAACTTCTTAGTAGCTTGCTGATGTTCTTTACAGTTTGGACAATACCTAAAAGAAAAAAAAAATCAATTTTAAATAGCTGTAGTCCATATGTATTTAAAAATACATTACTACAGAGAAAGTCAATAACATGGGAGGAACTGAATGAGAAAAACTCAACCACACACATTTTTTCTTTTATTACTAACGTTATTGATTCAGTTTAAAATGTACAAGTGTGATCACAGTGAAGCTCAACAGCATTCTAAACTCAAAAGTAGCAATCCCACAATATTGAATTCTCAGCTTCTATAGGATTCCCCATATGTTTAGTTAAAACAAGGCTTTCTTGTATTTTATACAAAAAAAGATGAAGGGTTATGAAACTGACTATAAGAAAAGCCGAAAATAACAGATAACTGCAACTTTTACAAGTTTCAATTTCCAAATTCATCTGCCTCTGACCCCATCCTGCTTTCACGTAAAAACAGCGACTACTATAAAAACTTCCCTTCTTAGTAGGCAAGTACTAAACAGGCTGTGACATAAATTGCTGTTTCCTACAATGCATACTTGACTCTTTCAGGAACTAAGGCTCAGGGAGGAAGATAAATAAGAAAAATGAATGGAAGCAACTCTTCCGTGAAATGGTTTATGCATATTCCACACCTTGGTATCTAACAAGTAAAAATCTAAGGGGAAAAAAAGTTAAAAAGAGATGAGCCCTAAATAAAAGACTGCACAAATGTCTTTAAATTGCAACATCAGATAAAGACAAGAAATTAGGAGAACTGTAAGGGCAGGCTGTAATTGAAAATCTGTTTTCCCAGCTGACTTAAAATATCTAGAATACCAATAGTGTTGGACTAGGGATGATGAGCTCTTGTAGACTAGACGTGTGAAGACCTAACAAATGAAGAAAAATCTGATTAATGACCTTTGGTGAAATGTATCTAGCAGCAGCTTCTTGACTTCTGCAATAGTTTTATATTGTAGTTTAAATAATATGTTTAACATGTGCTGCAAAAATGGAAGTGCTTCACCATACCTGAGTTATATGGTATCTCAAATAGTCTATCCAGTGTTGTATAATCTAGCAAACCCAGAAAAAAAATGAGACTTCTAAGTTAGCCAGCCCCTACGCTGCACAAATATAGGAGGATCTCTGTTGACAATGTTTGAAGGTCTCCAAAACTTTTAGGTATCTACAAGAGAAAAACTGGCAGACAGTCTTTTCAAACTTAATTCTGAGCTCAAAGTTGTTGTTGAAGGATTTTTCTGCTAGAAAATTCCTGGAGAAAAAGGATCTTACAGGAACATACTCTAATTGTGAATATTCAGATATGATTCCAAATTATAATTTGAAAGAACCATGAATCAATTTCTGTCTGCTGAAAACACATGGTGAATTTGAGCAGTTCTAGTGACTACAGACATCCCCCATCCCACAAACCTACCATTTAAGCACATCCCTATTTCAGAGATCAATGCAAGGCAAGTTATGTATTTGCATAAAAACATGAATGAAACAACCTCTCTTATCTCAGAAAGGAATATTTGTTTAAACCACTGCACTGAATTTGTCATAATATTATTCATTCACTGTCCATCATAGTTCACAGACTAGAATATCTTACATATAAACCTTTCCTCCTAATTTCCAATGCATTAACTGTTTCCCTTACAAACATAATCTTCTGCACATGGTAACAATTTAGGTTAAGTGATGGATCAAAGTAGAAAACATTTTGAGAATCTTCAACTAGGATTGAAATAACAAGATTCAAAATAACATTAAGGAATGGTTCATGTGTGATTTTGATTATATTTTGAGAGATGTACCACAGAATTAACAATTTTTCAGCTTTTGCGCTTACCATGGGTCTTCAGCACCTAGTTTCTCCTTTGTTGTGAACAGCTCAATGCAATCTTTTAATTTCACAAAAGGCTTTTTGGGAGGCTTATATTCCACACTTTCATGTTTTTCAAAATCCTAAAGAGAAGTATTTCTTGAGTTAAGAGAACAAATGAAACAAAACTCATTTTAGTGATGTCGTTTTACTAAACAGTAACTACAAAGCTCCTATATATGGAAAAACTGATTAGAAACCATTCAAGCAAAAAGTGTTCATAGCTTCAGATTTACTTCCAAGTTCGTAAGCCTCAGATTTGCTAATTACTTGGATGCGTATATGAAGTTTATTTATGACAAGATATTTACTAAGAATAACATGAAAAAAAGATATGGTAGCTTCTTCTTGTGAAGACTTACAATGTCTCATGTCCCAGTAATTAAGCTGTATTTTTACATTTAAGTTTTATTTGTGCTGGAAAGGGGAGCAACGTAAACAGCTTACCTCTGCTGCACTATCATCAAAATATCTCTTCTTCAGTTCAGGATCCCAATCCAAAGCAAGGAAAGATCTTTCTAAGATTAAAAAAAATGTTTTCTCTTAATATTATTTCTTGCTTTAAGTGAAACTGGATTAACTTTGGGCAAACATTCTTCAAAATGAATTAAACAACGCTATCATGAATTTAAGATGAAAAATTGAAGCACACGAAAATTCTGCATTTCTAAGAGTCAATCTCAATAACAAATTAATTATTCATGCAGAATTCACAACTGAAAAAAAAGATATATCAAATATTACACAGAGAAAATGAAACACAGAAATGGAGTCAGAAAAGAGTATCAGAACCAAACGCTGCTCAACCTCTTCCCCATGACTTACCATCAAGCCTAGGTTGTCTATCATCAAATCTAATATGCCTGGTATCATCTTTGATGTAGTTTATGTCAGTATTGCCTAAATTATTGAACTGGAATGTAAATAATCGCTTTTTGTGTCCCGTGAGTGGTTGACCTTTGCAAGTATCCTCAGTACATAATCCATTTTCAGAGTCATTGTCACCTCCAACGGAATCTTCTGACTGGCTGTTTTCATTCTCTGAAGGAAGTTCCTGATCCTGGCTGGATTCATCATCTTGCTCATCTGTTTCCATTTCACCTGAAGCAATCAGAAGAGTAAAAAGCAAGAAATGAGGGAGAATGACAGTAATTGAAAGACACTAGAGTTAACTTCTGTTTCAAATTGAACCCAAAATACTAAGCAGGTTTTCATATTCCAGTCTTACTTGGAGATCCTTCTTCATGTATTCCATTTGGGCCATTACCATTGATACCATGGTCCTTACAACAATGCAGAGATCCTTCAGTATCTTCACTTTCAGTACATGTTTTTACGTATCGGCTAAATATAACAAGTGAAAGAAACAGTTAGAAGCGATGGATTTTTAAATATTTA